GTAAATTATGAAGAATATATTATGAGTAGGTGGTTTTGTTTATGAAGATGGTGGTTGCGAGTACAATACATGATCTAAAATTTATTGATTAAGTAGACGGAGGTTGTTCACCTTGAAGACTAGGCTAGTCTATTTTTGAAGATAAAATAATTTGTTGAAATAAAATAATATGCTAAGATGATCGAGACAGATTTTAATTAGATTAAACATTTATTATTTATTTATATACTTATTATTTTTCTTTAAAAAAGACTACTGTGTTGAGTTTGCGATACTTTAAAAGAAAATTCTCTTATAAAAAGTAAAATTAAGAAAATGTAGATTAATGAGAACAGAAAAGAAAAGAGCGAATAGAAGGAAAGATCCTAACTTTGCTCTCCCTTATAGTTTGAAAATCAAAAATGTATTTTAATATATCCTTCACAGAGATGAGAAAAAAAACTACGGTGTTGAGTTTGAGATACTGTAAAAGAGAATTCTTTTATAAAAAGTAAAATTTAAAAAATGTAGATTAATAAAATCAGAAAAGAAAAGAGCGAATAGAAGGAAAGATCCTAACACTGTTCTCCCTTATAGTTTGAAAATCAAAAATGTGTTTTAATGTATACTTCACAGTTAAGAAATCTATGATTCGCCTAGTAATGAGTGGTGATTATCGCCAAGGTGTCTCCCATATAGCTGCAATAGAGGTAGATCAAGAGCCCTGTTTTATCTCTCTATCTCCATAACAGCCACTCCTGTCATGTGATCCCTCAATTTCGGCGATTTTGGCAATGAGAAAAAGGCGTCCTGTGACAGACAGATTTATGTTTTGTACTTTTGAAAGCAAGAAAGGAAAGTCCAAAGCTTTAGGGTTTAAGGTTCAGGGTTTTCTGAGGCGTAAGATATTGGATATTTTTAACAAGATTATAAGTCATTTTAGAATTCTAAGGTTTTAATAAATATATATAAACTGTACAAAACTGTTCACATTTTTACAAAAATATAATATTTTTATTTTATTTTTGAATGGTTTTAAAGAAGGTGAAAACGTATCGTGTAGCAAAACTTATTTCAATTTGATTCAGTAGTTTCCACAAACATCGGGAGTCATTTTGTTTCAGACCTGTGTAATATTTTATTTCATTAATTTATCGATATTGAAGTAAATAAAAAACGCGCTTAAATTTTAATCTAACATAGATTTTGGTATATTACAGCATCTTTTAAAATCATCAATGTTTTTTCAAGATATTTGGAATTTTTTGAAAAAATTTGTAAGAAATGATTTAAGTCATGTCAAGGGGTCAAAAGTAATGGTAATAAAAAAAGAGATGTATCACATTAACTCTGCTGCANTAATTTATCGATATTGAAGTAAATTAAAAACATCAATGTAAATTGTATTGAAGTAAATTAAAAACATTACAGCATCTTTTAAAATCATCAATGTTTTTTCAAGATATTTGGAATTTTTTGAAAAAATTTGTAAGAAATGATTTAAGTCATGTCAAGGGGTCAAAAGTAATGGTAATAAAAAAAGAGATGTATCACATTAACTCTGCTTCATTCTTTAAATCTTTACACCTGCGATGATAAGGTTAACCAGCTATACATTCGCTTTCAATTATTATTATCAATTTTTCTTCGTTTATTATTGTATTTGAAAGAGATCCGACAATTTCATCAATGAACTAATAATTAAGTGTTAAAGAACTTTGCCTTATTTATCGAAAAAATTTTAATAACTATTCACCTTTCTTCTTTCGGAGCAAATGTATTTCATAAACTAAATAAATTCAAAGAAACTTGCAGAAATTTAAAAACATCGAGGTATTTATTTTTTTGAAAGCATTCGAGAGAATACAAATAACACAACGTGAATAAACGAAGCAGGAAGGAAAAAAAATTTCGCCAAAATTTCGCTCAACTTAATTTTTTTTTTTTTTAATGCTGTATCAATGACGAATAATTAATTTTATATAATCATTATTTTATGCATAATAGTTTTTTGATATGTTTACATTCATTTATAAGATAATTTTAAATGTATAAACTTGAATATTAGAGTGAATAGAATGTAATGATTGGGATTAGTTTGATGTTTTAAGGAAAATAAGCGTGCGTTAAAAGTTAATTCATGAAGTAAATAATGCAATTTTAAATTCTTAAATCGATAAAATTACTTGCCTCTGAAATGTATAAAATTCTTAATCAACAAAGATTTCTCTACATCCAAAAGAACCATGAAGAAAAGAGATTTTTTTCCCGTTAAAATCCGTGCATCTATTTTCTTCCATTGAAATAACAAGGAGAATAGGTCAGTTGAAAATCCCTCTCTCTCAAATTGCTCACCAGTCACGTGGTTTTATTATAGGAACAAAAATCACCATGTTCCACTCGCTTTACTTAGATTACAGCTCTAAGATAAAGTAAAGCATTTCCGCAATAGCCCGAGCCAGGGATTCATGGAGGTTACGGTTCCACAATTTCGAAACCAATGGTATGATTGTGGCATTGTGATAAGCACAACTCACGCTTTTACTTTCCAGACAACCCGGTACCCATGGATCTGAGTATGGGTGGGCTTAACGCCGTCACTGGGGATTGAACCTCAGTTCCTCACAATGACAGTTCAGTGCTTTAACAGCTCTATGGTCATTCTCTAAATTTTTTTAATCATTTCTTGTGTGATGGCGGCGAAAATTAAAATGGCAATTCCTTAAAGACCATACTATGAGCAACCATGTAATGGTTTTCAAATTTTACGAAACTGAGTTGGACAGATATTTAAAGAATCTGTGAAAACAAAAGCTGATTTCCATTAACATATAAAGATTGCCATGAAAGCAATTTTAACAATTATATTTTTTGTAATGAGAATTAAATGAAGTATCATTTTAATTGAATTACAGGAAATTTGTTACGCTTTATTTTGCATGGCAATGTAATCTAATAAATTGCAATGTTCAGAAAGCCAATCGATGCATCTGTGTTATTATATTAAAATTTACTTGAATAGAAAGAAAATGCTTTATAATAATTTGATATTAAAAATTTTTAAGTGCTTCGTAAATTTTGTGAATTTATTGATCACGATAGCAGAATTATGCTTAAGAAAGCTTAGAAAAATAAGATGGCCAGACACTTGAGCAAAAAAGAGTCTTAATTATTATAATTTTAATAAAAAATAAACTATATATAACAGAAAATAAACTATTACGACTAATAGTGCAATTACATTTGAATTTGAATTTAATACGAATGTTTTTTTTTTAATTATGTGTTAAATTTTTATTTACAAAATGTTCATTTCAAATGCAAATCTAATTACCATATTTATAAAAGAATGATGCTTTCTTTATGCTACTTCAAATTTGTAATTAGTTTTTCACACGTGATGTATCAAAGGTAAGTTTGATGAAACAAATTTTCATTCCGAACTTCCAAATTATTAAAATGAGTTTAGATGCTACTAACTATTCGTCTTTTATAAATTAGTTAGGCGTTGCTTTTCCACAGGAATTATAATGCAAATAAGAAATCTGTTTCTTAATTCATTTATCTGTCTAGACTGTTTAGCACGAATTTTAACAATATACATTCCAGAAATATTTTAAAACTTGGCTAATATATTTTGAGGTTCGCTATAGTATATTCACCCGAATATAGACAGTGTTTGAACAGAAAGGAGAAGAATTTTAATAACCGTGGAATGTTGTAATAATAAACTTTATAATAAAAAGTAAAGCATTATCGCACGCAACAGCCCGTTGCGAGCCTCAGAGGTCGAGGAGGTTAAGGCAGGCCACGCAATAAGGAAACAAGCATTAAGAAAGATGCATACAAGAGGCAGGTTCCCATACTTTTGCATTAGTATACAATTGTATAGAAATTCGTCACCTGCGTGCTTCTTTTTTTATTGCTTGCTTCCTCAGTGCGTGACCTGCCTAAGGGTTTACGATTTCGTGACCAGCAGCAAGACTGTGGCAATGTGGATCTGAAGCTGGGTGCACTTCAAGCAGCCACTGGGTACCAAACTCCAATCCTTCACACCGGCAGTTGAGTGCCATAGCAACTGAGTCACCATGCTCAACTTTATAATAGAATCGAAAACAAACGATAATGTATTAATAATAAAGAAATGACACAGAATTTAAATAACATTTGTTACATACTGTACAAAAAATATTTTAATAAAATTTTAATTCATTCGAAATTTAGACCAATCAGACTTTTAAACAATTCCCGATACACGTAGTTAATTGCTTTAAATAAGTTATATAAACCGTGCATAAAGCTGCAAAATACATAAAACTCTCAATATAAGATAATAACAAACAGTAAACAGGAACTGACTTTAGAAAATTAAAAAAATTAACAATACTAGTTTAAAAGAGGAAAAAATAATAAATTTAAAAATTATAATTTTTTCAATTTGTTTTATTAATTACATTTTATTCATTATTCCTCATATAAAGTGACACTTATATATCGTCCCGCAGTGGACTGATCGTTAAGACACGGTTCCCAGCAGATCACCGAAGTCAAGCATCAAAGGGTGCGGTCAGTATGCGAGTGGGTGACCACTTGGATCAGTCTGGGTAGGGACCGAGGGTGTGCGGTATTGGTCCTCGTTAAACTGTTCTACTGTAAAGTGCTCGACTTCGCGTGCAGGTCGTCGGGCTACCGAAGCGAGGGTGCCATCGCCTCCGCAGAGGATCAAAATTGTGATGTCATGTCTTCGGATCATCCTCAGGGATGCTTCCCAGACCGTCGCCAATAGCCCATTGAGCAGCTCTAGTGCGACGTAAATGAACTACAACAACAACAACGACACTTATATATCCAACGTCATAAAGAGAAACTGGTTTACCGTAATTAGTCTTAACACTTAAAGGGTTAATAACAATATAATATTTTTAGGAATCCTAATTACATATGATGCAATAATATTTGTAGTGTGCTTGCTTGCTTAGATAAAAAGAGAATTACTGTTTATAAAATAATGTATCAGTTACCTCCTTCAAAAGATGCATCGAACACTAGGTGACCTTTCTTTGCTTTACCACTGTGGCCTGGTGGCCGCATGACCAACCGTGCTACATTTTTTACTTCCCCGGCATTTTCACCATCACTGCTACTGCTTTCTAAAAACAAATAACAAAAAAAATATATTTAGAACACTGAGACACAATACATGTAGATTGAAATATAAAGTTTACTCTAATGAAAGAGAGTTTAGTGACCAGTTCAGTACCGACAAAAAGGGAAAAAGCACTTCCCTGGCCTTTATACACTAAAAGTAATATACGTACGCATGGGACAGAGCAATTTTCCCCGTCTGTCTAATTTCCTTTAAAAATTAATATAAAATCATTAATACAATTAAATACTCAGACATTTGTAGTTTATTATTTTTGATATTACCTGAATGTACCTTAATGAATTGTTCGCACTATTTAAAAAAAAAAAATAACAGTTGCAAGACTGACCCAAAACATGCAATATACTATCTAGCAAACCCCTAACTGCAGACAAGTCTATACCCACACAAAACAAGAAGCATTCGATAAACCAATATGACCACATAAACTCCCTCAAAATGTAAACAAAAATTCAGAGGGCAGTAATTTACGTGCCCAACCCTATCGAAAGGTCGGAATATGCGCAGTTGTTTGAGTTTTAAGTAGAAAAAGAATTTAGAAAAGCAGATACTATTGTGCAACTATTTTAACGAAAATTAAAAATACGTAACGCCCTTTTAAAATATTTTGTTATTTATTGACTATATTTTCCAAAAATAGTTGATCTTGATTGATCAGACTAGTGAAATTAAATTTAATTTACGTTAGATAAAATTTGTAAATTTAAATTATTTGAATTATGAAAAATCAGATTTGTAAATTTTGACAAATTTTTGTTTTAGACTGCTTTGTTGCTTAAATTATATTACTCCATTCACTTCTTACCTAGTAATTTAATTTAGCGAATAATTAATTTAATGCTTTTTAAGCAATGTGGATAAATGAGGAGCTTAATTACATTGGCTTGAATTTAACCTTAACTAAGCACATTACCCAATAATGACCAAGCACCCAGTTTCTACGGCTCTATCTTTTAACGACAGTGTTAAGAATGTCACATGATTTTAATCCAAGTCAGACAACGTAAACAGCGTTTGCCCCTCTCTTCAAACCTCCACAGCAGAACCAACGAGAAGTCATTCAGCCACAACAGATAAAACGTAACCTTACTGCGAATGCACGATAATTGTTCTTTAGATAGGCAGGATCGAGCTCACTATCCCCTGCTCTCTTACCAGCGGTGTAAACAATGCCTTAACCAAGGGCCCTTAATTAAGCATTCAGAAAAAAATAATTAAAACAAGCCTTAATTATTCATAAACAATTACAGAAACTTCAAAAGCTATTTATAAATCGTCAGTCATACCATTTTACAACTTTCGTTTTCTTTATAATATTTTGAAGTTTGTATTTTTAATTTAAAATTGCCAAATCTATAGTTATTAATCGAGGCATCATAGCTCCAGATTTGTGATGAAACTTCTTAAAATTAAAAGAAATATATCTATTTTTTATTTATTTATTACATTTTTTATTTACTTTTATTTGTTTATTTATTTTGCTTTTATTGAACACTCAATCAATGCTTAATGGAACATAAAATAAGAAGAAACAATTGGGTAAATAATGCACTTTTTGTGAGAAAAACTAGGGATAAATTTTGCTTAAAAATTGAAATTCGTTTATACAGTTTGAATAGCAATACAGTTTAGTCGAAATACAGTTTGTATAGCACAAACTGAAATACAGTTTGTATAGCACAAACTGTAATAATAATATTCAAAAATCACAATTATTGCACACATCATTATGCACGATATTGTGCTCTTAAAATTTATTTTCCATTTTAAAAATTTCCATCCAATAGTTTCGCACAACTGCAATAGCTATGACAGCAGTAATTCTAAAAACTCTTCAAATTGGAGCTGTAATTGAAAAGTTAAGCTTTTTATATCGTTCAAACTTGATACTTTTCTTATCTGCCTAAAATCACCAAGACATAATTCAAGCAACACTATATTTGATGAATCTGAATTTAATAAGCCAAATTTATCTTCAGATAACCAGCGTACATTGAAATACTCTCACTTTAATTATTACTTTAAGAATATTTCTAATTTTGGAGATCTGACATCAGTAATGAATGAAACATGAGAAATACAGTTCCAGATGACAGCGCCATTTATAAACTAGGCTGAAATACGACTGCTTTACATTCTTTTTATCAAATTACGAACCCACACAATTAACAATGAAGTCTAATCGCTTAATGTGTATAACGTGTTTTCTTTGTTAACTTTTTCCCTTGTGAATCTCAAGTTAAAATTTACTTGATTAATGCATTCGCAAAAAGACCTTGAATTTGGTGCACATTTTGGCGGATGAAATTATTCTGTTTAATTAGTGAAAGTGTCTTTTTTTTCTGCTCATTTAATTTGAAGAGAAAACGGGAATAAATTATTTTATTGTAAATTGCCTGCTTTTTACATAAATTAATTACCAAGTTGATATCAAGATGAAATTCAAAAATCCCTTATTTTTTTGTACAATTGCTCGCAAGATTAAAAAAAAAATGCAATTGCATTCCTTTCTCGCAAACTTCGCTTCCATACATCATTATCCGGTTAACTGAATCGAGTTACGAGCTCAACCCTCCCCCCAAACTAGGCCCTTTCCCCTGAGTGTCGCTCTAGCACCAAGGAGTTAGGAGCGATGTCAACTTTGATGTCCTAAGGTTTTTTAAAATATCATAAAACGATTTTTTTTTTGTCACCTGACACATATTTCGAGAGATCACACTATTTTAAGTACAGTTTACGCTATTTTTATTTTGTAGATATAGTGTTACTAATGAGTCTATAAGCAGCGGCCTTACTTTTAAACGCAACAATTTTCTACGGAAAATCCAAATCTGCAATAAAAAAATAAGCAAGATTGTGTATAAATAAGATCTCCCAACCCCAGGGGACTAGTTTAGGGGATTGAGTTTAGTATCGTAAATACATTTTTTGAAAATATTTCATAGGCATATTTTTAGATCTGATGTGTATTTTATGCGATATTTGAGTTTCCATTTTTTAGGATGTCCGGCATAACTTATAATACACAAAAAAAAACTATTTTAATGAATGGTTCTCAAGATTATTTTGACTTATTAATTATTCAGAAGATTAATAACTTTGCAATAGATATTTTACCTCGTTTTAGTTATAATCATTAAGGTCAGCCATAACGAAATAACCCGAATGTCCGCTCTTTAACGTAAAAAAATAAATAAAATACAAATAAATGCTTGAAGTTGCTAATAATTTATGAAAAAAAGGCACTTGCACTTCCTCGCAAAAAAGGCACAAGTTTTGAAAGGGCACTCCTTAACACATAAAAATTTATCAAAACGTGCAATACTATGTATTACACGTTTGTGAATATGATCCTCAACTATTTCTAAACTATCCCTCTTATGCTATTTTATGTGTATATTTCAAAAAGTAATTCTCTTTCATAATCAAAATAAGAGAAAAATTCACAGTTTATTAAAAAAAATAATTAAAAGCACACTAAAAAACATCTTCTTTTTAAACTAAAAGAAAATGTTTAATTGATAAGCAACTTGAAATTTTTTTTTGATGATTTAAACTGAAAATTAAAAGAACATAAACATTTAAAGGTGCATTTATAAAAAAGGTACTTATTTAAAAAACATTTAAATTTAATATCACTTTAAAAAATTATTACTTTAANTCAGAATTAAATTTACCGACACAGATAATTTTACCTGTGGGTAATTATTATTTAAACAATTAATTAAATTTTCTTAAATCGAATATAAATAAAAAGGTAGTTGGCTTATTTTACAAAAAGGGCCAAGGAAAGGATCATTTATAGGAACCAAAGGGTTAGCGGGGCGGACCGCTCTTCTAAAAACGCTCTGGGAGAACACTGTATTTAATATGGTTTCGTAGTAAGGAGAGCTTGAAAAATATTTGCCCAGGAAATCAATAGTTGACGAATTCAAACGAGAAGGGTGCCTGCCCTTTCAATAATACTTGATAAAATTCATCTTGATAAAATTAACAAGCATAGGTATCGTAGTTTTTAAAAGTGATTTACTATGATAAGAAGGATTACTTATATTACAAGCTTTCCTACCAAGACATTTAATCTTAATTAATCATCAATATTCCATAGATCTATCGTCACGATATGGGATATAAACTATGCCTAATCATATCATTTCCGTGATTAAGAGAATTAATCCGTGCTTTGTGCAACCTATTATGGACACTCACGTGGCCAATATAGCAGTGAATAATAGATTCTAGCATTGTATTCATAAATAGCCAATGGAGTAGAGTATATGCACATTTTATTGCTTATTACATTAAATCTTTTTATTCGATAGTAATTTTTAAATATGTATTGTTACATGAGATATATTTTAGTACAAAAATTCTTATTTAAAAAGTTCTTCGAATGTTAAATAAATATTATTCATTCTTAGTTTTATATTGATTGCTAAAAATTGATTTCACGCCAATAATGCTGAAACTTTGAATTGGCCAGCTAAATCTCCAGATCTCAACCAAATAGAGAACTTAAGAGGTGATTTAGCACGAAGTGCTTATGCAAATGATAGGCATTTTACATCATCAAGAGTTGATATCTACTATTAAAGATGAATGGTATAATTCAAACTAATTTGAAGAAATTAATAAAAAATTGTTCTCACACAAGCTTTTTACTTTTTGTATCATTTTTATATGCTATGTTATCCTTAAAAAATTAAATAAGGTTGAAATACTAATTTTAAATTTACTACTTTTATAACAATTATAAAATTACAAATTCTATTTGTTGCGTTATTTCTTAATAATATATTTTAAAAAATAATAATACAATAATATTTAAATCCCTTTTATTTTCATTTTGTCGAGGTTTTTTTTTACTGGCTTTATGGTTTTTATTCTGATTATATATACTCCTTGTCGGGAAACGAGAAACTTGATTTTAAATTATCGAATTAAAAATTAATAAATAAATCTAATGATTAAAACCACTTCTTT